ATCAAGAGAGAGTGGTATTGACATACAAAAGATATACAGATCAGGGGAATAAAGTTGAAAGAACAAAATAAAGTTTCACATTGTTGTCAACTGGGCTTTGAAAAGGGTGCATAGACAACTCAATAGGGATAGCAAAGTCTTCTCAAATGGTGCTGGAAAAGCTAAATTCCACAAGCAAAATAATGAAACTGGACCCTTACTTTCTATCACATGAGAAAATTAACTTGAAATGGATATTCACATGGAAAATAATAAAACTGGATCCCTAATTCACAGTGTGAGAACAGAAAGTCCAGTGACCCATATTCAAGTGGTCCATATTCAAGTATTTGGCTTTAAAAGTAAAATTACTGGGGATGTAAGAAAGAAAAGAGCCAAAGGGGAAATAAAACAGTGATTACCAGCAGCTTATACCCAAGTATGTCATATTCACAGTCCCTTGGTAAAGGAGGTGAGAAAAAGGGGCCAGCCTAACCAAAAGTGAGAAATTGTGTAAGGGCTAAGATAAACTCACCCCCAAAAGACCTTCCCACCACAAGAGAACAGAGGGAGATAGAAACAACTAAAAGTACATTTCTTTAAATAACCCAATAGAGACAATAAAACCTGGGCAATGTTTCGGAATATTAGTACTCAGCCAATGAGGATCCAAGAGAGAGACCTTAAAGCACTACCCACTAGCAGATAAAATGCTGATTGTAACTGCTCTGGGTCTGCCTGCTCCACAGATACCAGATCTTGCAAGAATGTCAATAAAAAGCCCCTTTTTCTCTGTAACTTGTGTGTCTATTCCATTCTTTGGGTTTGAGCAGATGAGAATATCTCTAACACCATATACAAAAATGAATACAAAAAGGTTAACAGAATTAAAGCAGAAGAAACTTAACAGTAAATCCTTATGATCTGTATTGGTTTCTTAGATATGGCACCAAAATCAGAAGCAACAAAATAAAGATTAATTAGTCTTCATCCAAATTAAAAACTTTTATGCTTCAAAGAATACCATCAAGAAAATGGAGGGGCTGGGGATGTGGCTCAAGCGGTAGCACGCTCGCCTGGCATGCATGCGGCCTGGGTTCGATCCTCAGCACCACTTACAAACAAAGACGTTGTGTCTGCCGAAAACTAAAAAATAAATATTAAAAATTCTCTTCTCAAAAAAAAAAAAAGAAAAGAAAATGGAAAGACAGCCCACAAAATAAGATAAAATATTTGCAAAGCATAGATCAGACAAGGTACTTGCATCTAGAATATTACAGAATGCTTAAAACTCCACAATAAGAACATAAAGGATTTAAATATATTTCTCCAAAATGGCCATTAGGCACCTGAACAGATAACCAACATTAGTCATTATAGAAATGCAAATCAGAACCACAATGAGATACCATTATACCCAATTCAAATGGCTAAAATAAAAGACACACAAAAAGAAGTGATGATAAAGATGTGAAGACGGGGCTGGTGTGGTGGCTCAGTGGTACAGTGCTCGCCTAGCATGCATGAGGCACTGGGTTCTATCCTCAGCACCACATAAAAACAAACTGATGTAGCCACCTAAAAACTAAAGATACATATATAAATAAATATTTTTTAAAAAAAGATGTGAAGAAATTAGAACCATTATATAATGCTAATGGAATTATAAAATGATGTAGCCACTTCAAAAAGCAGTTTGTCAGTTCCCCAATATATTAAAAAGTTACTATATACCCCAGTAATTCTACTCCTGGGTATATATTTAGGAAAAATGAGAACTTATGGCCTCATAAAAACCTTTTCACAAATATTCAGAGCATTACTACTGATAATAGACAAAACAGCAAACAATCCAAATATCTATCAACTGATAAATGTATAAACAATGTTTAATATATCTATACAATGGAATATTATTCAGCAAAAAAGCATAAAGTACTGACATGTAGTACAATATAGATGATTGTTGAAAATGTTATACTAAGTGAAAGAAGCTAGTACAAATAACATGCTACTTACATAATAAACATATTTTTTTAAATATCTCTCCTTTACACACTTTTCTAAACCTAATTATATTTCCCTCTATAAAATATTCTACCTACACTCCACAAAAGGTTACAAGATTTAATGTAATAATACATTCATTTTGATATACACATGTCCTCAATAATATCTCCTTTCTTTTAAAGCAGCTGAAGAATTTTAAGTCTATATACTGAAAATTACAGTATATAGAAGATAAGCCTAGGAGAAAAATTATCTCAAACTTTTAATGCAAGTTAAATGTTAAACTTGAGTTTGAAAAGTAATGTCATTTAAATCAGAAAATTCTCATATTATACTGACATCACTATATCTGCTAAAAAATTATTTTATTCTAACCAAAACTTGTTTTTCAAAGCAAAGAAAGTAAAATTTCCCATTTTTAATATTATTCTCTGTTCTCCATCAATGGTTCTCCAAATATGCTCCTTAAACCCAAAATATCAGCCTTAAAAGTGCAAAGTCTAAGTTCCCAACTCAGACCTAATCAATCAGAAACTTGGGGAGAAGAGTGGACAATAAACTATGCTTTAATAAACCCTCCAAGAGTTAGATACATAATAATCTGAGAGCCATGGCAGTGCATTATGCTGCCTTACAAGGACTTTGTGGAGATGATTTAAGCACTCTGGAAAAAAAAAAGGCTGTTAGTGTTATTCCTACTTTGTCAACTGCATTTTCACATTTCCAAACTCTTCCAAATTAACAGGAGGCATTAACTAGGAGGATTCACAATAATCTTATTGTGTGATTCCTGACAATGTAGTTAACCAACCACTTTGATTTGGATTACCACCACGAATCCTCTAGGGGACAGACAGAAATTCAGGCAGGGAGTAAGGACAGAAATCAGAAACATATCAATTTGAATTGATTCTTCTAATATTCTCCTGACTTTGATAACCCTTAAAATCAGTATGATAATCTGATCTGCTAAAATAAGATCAATAATTATTTATCTCCATAATCTTTATTATTTATCTCCACTTGCTAAATAAATGTAAGGCATTATACCAGGTGCTGTAGTAGACACAAAATTTGTTAAGTTCCAGCTTCTGCTCCATGAAACTTTTAACTCACTAGATTATGTCAACACTTCACAAATAACAAGGCAAAGAGAAGGACTGCCATAAGATAAACTTAGACATCTACCTTAGAAATTCAAAGATAAACGGTATCTCATCTCTTAGAGAAGAGAGGCAGAAAAATGGGAGGTTAGGGAGGCAGAATTCAAAAAGAAAGGTGAAAAAGAGGGGTATAGCCATCCTTTTATCACAGAGGAAATGAGGCAGCAGGTAGTGGTACAGACTGCAGAGAAAAATCACACCATGATGCATGCAGTAATGAAAGAACATTAATTGGGTCAAACTGCCCCACCAGGAACAAACTATGTCACATTGGCCTAACAAGTCCATCTCTAAATCACAACTACTCATTTGTGAAATAGGAATAATAACAAGTATCTTAATTACTTCAAAGATATTTAACTGAAAATGAGCCAGGGAGGGAAAGGTGCCAACAGAAAGAAATAATAAAGGCCATGTTCAAACTTCAATAATTATTATCTATTAGGTAATCAAAATTGTGGAACATTAAAAACATTTCAATTCAAAACATTTCCATTTCAAAAATCACAGTTTCTATTAGTAAGTAAAGTATAAATAACTTAAATGATTCAAAACAACATGAGGAGAAGAATCAAATTGAATATAATTTTGTTAACAGATTATACATAAAAACATCTTTTCTTGGGAGGGGCACTTAATTAATTAGCAAAAATATACAGTCATTGTTTGGTAAGTAGTAGTTTGGCAATTTCTTCTGAAGTTCAAAATACACTTACCAACAACTTATAAACCATCCTCTTGGGCATTTATCCCAAAGAAACAAAATTCTATGTTCATGTAAAAACAATACACAAAAATTCATACAATCTTTAGTTGAAATAGTAAAAAACTAGAAACAACACAAATGTTTTACCACATAATACAATTCAGTAATAAAAAGAAAATAATTATAGATTCATACAAATAAACCCCAAGGGAATTAGGCTGAGAAAAGGCTAAACACTGTAATCCTTTTGGAATAAAAAAATTAGAGACGGAAAACAAATTATTGGCTACTAGGAGTTAGGAAGAAATAAATGTAGCTATAAAGGAGAAGCACTAGTGAGTATGTGGTATTGAAATGGTTCTTCTGTAACTTGACTGTGGTGGTAGTTACATGAAGCCTCAGTAACGTGGGATATAATTACACATACAAACACAAATGACTACAATGAAATTAAAATAAATTCTTATGTCAGTTTCCTAGTACTGATATAGTTATGCAACACTGGGACAGGTGGGGTAAAGGGTGATAGGACACCCCTGAACATTTCTTTGCAACTTCTTGTGAATCTATGATTATTTCAAAATAAAATGTTAAAAAAGGTAAACTGCCATTTTTTCAAAACAGATTATGCCCATTTAACCAGCATTGGTACAAAAGTGGTATTCTTACCCATTACTGATGGCATAGTAAGTTGCAACAATTCCTTGTAGAAAATGATTTTACAACACATATACACAACTATAAATGCTGTGTCCTTTTACCTAGCCATCTAACTTCTGGGAATCATCTAAAGAACTATTATCAAAATGGGAAAACACACACACATTCAGAATGTTATTATAGTGTAATTAGACGCAACCTAGATGTTTTAATAGGCATAATTTTATCAAAACTTGGTCATGGATTATGTATCCATTGATAATACTTATAATGGTATGACAATATAACAGAAAATATGAGAATAAATCAAAATTCAAAATTAACACCTAATTACATCTTCCTAAAGCATGGATTTAAAACACAGGAAACTTCTAAGAATAAATAAGATAATTTTGTTAGTATGAAAGAATCACAGGTATATTTCTCAAACCTTCTTATAGAGTTACAGTATTTCATAGCTAAAGAAATAAGCATACTTTTACCTTATCCCAGAAATCAACCAAAGCTGTAAAGTCCCATTTCTTAGAATATGCCACATTGTATTTCAGAATAGCATCCTATAGAAAAAAAAACAGAAACAAAACCTCAAGATATAGCCACATGATTTACCTATGAATAGCCTGTCTCTTACGAATTACTTCCAGTAAATTTCTTAATGCCAGACAAGCTTCCTCTTACTATCAGTTTACTCCAGAGAAGTAGTTATGGACAAACAGAATGTATACTGATTTATTATTAACAAGAAAATGATATTATAAAGGTTAGGCAATAGGGGAAAGACATAACTACCCTAAAGCATTCATTCTAAATGGGGATAATATACTCCAAGTGGACAAAAATTGGATCTTGGGGGATAAAAATTAACTTAGAAATTGCAACAATTCATGAACTTTATATATGTATATATGTGTGTGTACACACAAAGCATATGTGCAATATTAAAATTTTATATTGGTGGGAGATTAGGGAAAAATGTTTAAAAGGGCTTCTGGAATAGAGGACAATAATGAAAAAGACTGTGAAACCCCATCTTAAAGTATGAAGTGGTCCTTTTTGCTTCACTAACAGCTTTTAAAGGCTATATATGAGTGATTATCTTCCCCTAGCAGTTCATACAAATTACATATTTTCAGAGAATGAAAAATCAAAACATTATGCCATCTACTGGTGTAACTTTTAACTGTCTGAATAAACAATACTATCCAGGTGGTTTCCAGAGTCAGGTATGCATAATTCATTAGTTGTGCTGAAAGAACTTTCATTCTTTTCAATATCTATTTTGATTATTTTATAATACATAACATTAGTAAAGTTATAAATGAGTACAATTTATAAATAACTATATTGGTAATACAAACTCAAAATACTTTTATTGAAGAAATACACAAGTCTGAAAATTATTACTATAAACCTTTGAGATTTCCTTATCAATAAAGAAATTTTTAAAAATTAATGCTCTGCCAAAGAGCTTCTTAAACAACATTTCATGGCATACAATCACCAAACATCTAAGTTAAAAAGCACAAAATGTATATTATTTATTTGGAATCAAGGGATATACAAGTTCCTTCAGGAAAAAAAGAAATTGTCCATAAATAACATGGCAAGAAAAAGCTTTTATTTTTCTCACAAATTATAAAATAAAAATTTCTGTTAAGAATTCTTCAAAATTTAAGGAATTTTTTCTAATCATGGATATCTTATTTCAAAACCTCACATAAAGTAATAAATAACAATGTCTATAAACAGATGAATAGGCCAAGTGCTTGGCACACGCCTATAATCCCAGCAGCTCAGGAGGCTGGGACAGAAGGATCACATGTTCCAGACCAACCTCAGCAACTTAGCAAGATTCTGTATAAAAATAAAAAGGGCTGGGAATGTACTCAGTGGATAAGGGCCCCTGGTTTCAATGCCTAGTACTAAAATCAAAAATAAAGAAAAAAAAATCAGATGATTGAGTAAGCAATGCATATACTGGAGCAAACTACTGATATACCGAACTAAATGGGTGAATCTCAAAAACATTCATTCTGAGTAAAAAGAATAGACACTATAGTATACAGGATATGAGACTCCATTCATATAAATTGTACTAATTCATAGTGAAAAGAGTGGTTCGGTAGTTGTCTAAGGACAGTAGAATCGACTATAAGAGGACACGTGGGGGATGATAGAAATGCTTTGCATCTTGATTGTGGTAGGGTTTCCCCCAGTAGATATGTGAAAACTCATTAAAATACATACTTTAAAAGGATACACTTTCTTTTATGCAAATTATTCTTCAAAGTTAGTAAGGAACAATAAATGGAACTTGCACTCCTAATTCCTTAATGGCATAATATAATTAGCATAAATCCCTTAGACACTTATCGCTCAGTATCTGCAGGGGATTGGTACAAGCCCCCTTGAAAATATCAAAATCTGAGTATGCTCAGACAAGTCTCTTTAAATAAGATGGCATAGCATTTGCATATAATCTACACATCCTCCCATTCTTTAAATCATCTTTAAATTATTTACAGTTGCTAATCCAGCCAAGTGTGTTGGTGCACGCCTGTAATCCCAGCAACCTGGGAAGCTAAAGTAGGAGGACTGAAAGTTCAAGGCCAGCCTCAGCAAGTTAGTGAGATCCTATCTCAAAATCAAAAATAAAACATGGGGAATGAAGCTCAGAAGTAAAGTGCCTGGTGGCCAATCCACAGTGCCAAAAGGAAAAAAAAAAAAAATTTTAGTTGTCAATTCAAGTAAATGCTATGCAAACATTGTTATATTGTATTGTATAGGGAATAATGAGAAGAAAAAAGTCTGTGCATGTTTAGTTACAGCCATAATTTTTTTTCCAAATGTTTTCAAACTACTATTGGTAGAATCCCAAGGTAAGGAATCTGTTCCAGAGAGATAAATGTATTTTTACTTTTAGTTCAGGTTTCAACTCTCAAAAGTAGTCAGTCCATCATGAAGTTTCCTGTCATTAGAAAAACAGGATGCTACTCTGTATCAAATATTGAGGGAATTTGAAGAAGTGCTTTTTGTTCAAACTGTCAGACACGTTATTTATACATTATCACTTGTGAGGACATTATTCTTTTTTAAACTTTGAACCTCTCTGATCCCCCTAAATCTAACATCATATGATATATAATCAACAAAAAGATCATTATACTCAATCAGAAGAATTTAATATTTTCCCTTCCTCTCTCATAGCATTCTTCAGCAAAGTAAATAATTACCAAATCAGATGGCAGAAAATCTTGATGAATTATGCTGCTAAATCTACCATAAAATAATCAAAAAAAAAAAAAGGGAAACTGACATTAAAGTAATCACCCCTTCCTAAAATAATCATGGCAGAATAAGAAACTGCTGGAGAACACTATCATTACTCTGTTGATGTTTGAATAAAAAATCTGAAAATTCTAAAAATATAGCCCACTTTCTAAAGTGGGCTAAAGCTATAAGAACCTACCACAGAAATGGAATCTGGTTTCTTTTCTTTTTTAGTGGTACTGAAATCAAATTCAGGGTTTGTACATGCTAGGCAAGTACTCTATCACTGACCTATATCCCCCCCCGCCCCCCCGCCCCAAATGGAGTCTGGATAGTATTCTTAGGTGGCCTGCTTCTGCATTTTTGAGTTTATAATTTTGGTTTTGAAGACAAAGGCCAAATGACAACATTCTGTAGAATAGAAGACTAGTACTTTAAACAGATAAAAATAGAAGAAAGATTAAGCCATGCTAGAATACATCATAGTACAGGTATATCAAATTCTAAAGAATAAGGTTCAAAGCAGTCACTACATATTTGCAAGCGGATACGCTACATAAAAATATCATCTTTGCATCCACCAGCATCCAACTGTTTATAGTTGTAAGAGAAGAAATAAATACAAAATAAAGAATTTTTTCTTTATACAGTATTTTAAAAAATTTCTTAGCATACTATTTTGAAGTTTGGATCAGTGGTTTAAAAATATCTATGCAAAAAAAGGAATGTTAAGTATAAATTGTTTTCACTGTGATCATCAAATTAATATATCTGCAAAAGCACTATAAGCAGGGGGAATTTATACTTATTTTTATGTTTATACATATATAATTAACATTACACTAAAATTAATTAACATTAAACTAAAATTACGTCAACTATGGCATACCTTGATAATTTTTTTCATTTACAAAGAGTTAAACTAAAAGGACTTCATTACAAGATTAAGGAAACACTTCATAAAATTGAAAAATCTTTTAAATTTTCAAAATACATTATTGTACAACATCAATGTGTTTCATGAGGAAAAAAAAGATAAACCTAAAAGTTACAGAAATCTATGGAAAATTAAAAAATAACTTGCAAATATAGGTGGAATATTCTATAAAACCAGAGAAACTGTCTATAGCAAATTAGGCATCAGAAAGAAAATAAAACCATTTTTATGAAGTATAGAAAATTCTGTCACTGTTTGTATTTATAAAATGCTATAAAAGCTCTATAGACACAGTGTTTTCTCAAAAAATATATACACTTATGCATATTTTAAATATTACAAAAACAATCTAACGGTTGCCTTTATGGTTTTAAATGAAGTACAAAAAATTATTGTCAATATATAAAATTAATAAATAAATTATTAAACTGCTAGCAGCTATATTAAGAGCAATAAAAAATAGAATACTTAATGTATACTTTAATCACTAGCAAAATCAGCTTCCCTTTAGGCAAATATTGCTGAAGTCATAATTCTTTCCTGATTTCTTTTTAAAGACATTTCAGAAACATTAAAACAAAAAAGAGAAGCTTATACTGAAGGAAATTGGACAGGGTATCAAGAAACAGAGGTCTGATTCCTGGTTCACGAAATTATTCTGTGTGGCTCCAGGCAAGTCATTTACAACTCTCAATTCCTTAGCTCATTTCCTAGTGATGGAGTGGAAACCAAGAATGTCTCGAAGGAGCCTTCCTTAGTTCTGGGAAGCAAACACTTTGTTTAAAATGAATACTGTTACCTGAGCCTATTATGATCATAAAACATCTTTAAGAGAGGAAACAGAAGACTCATCTCTAAGAGCTATAAATAAGAAACAAAAATGGCAAAAAGAATATACCTTTAGGTTTTGGGGTCTTGTGAATTTGTTGAGAAGTGCAGTCTGAATGAGCTCCCACCGGCTCCCTGCAGTTCGCTCACCATTCTTTTAGGAAAAAGAATAACAAGATCAAACTATTCCAAGTTATTTTGCATTACAGAATCAGAAGTCAAACAAGTTAAGTATCAAAACATGTTTCAGGGACTAAAATAATCTTCACTTTTTCTTACCTCATCTTCTACAGGGTACAAATTTTGTTCAGAACAAGGCATTTTAACATGCTTATTATCCCACAAATCTTTATAATGTGTTGGAAAAGGTTTGGGAACTTCTCCTGCTCGTAAAAGATCTACCTGAAATAGAGGGTAAATAGGAAAATTTTAAGAGTATAAACTCTAAGTATTTCTTCTATAAAATAATCCACAGAAAGAAGCTAAAGTAAATGCACTGTAAATACATAGACTGGTTCCCAGGCAAGAAACCTCAGAAGTTCTCTTCAGCTGTTGTCACTCCTCTCCTCTTATCAGCTTCCAAGAGACCATGTCCTGTATCTCCATCCCATCTAGGTGCTAAGCCCTCATCATTCTTTGCCTGAATTGCTGCCTAAAGCCTCCACACTCTCTCCCTAAATCCAAGTGTCCCAGACACACTCATTCCTCCATAAAACCCTTATCCCCACTTTGGAACAACATTATCTTTTGAAAGTATTCCCAGTTTTCTAATTCATTTTGAATAAGTCAGATTTTTTAAACATAGCAAATTCAAGTGCATGTCTATATATATGCCTATGTACATACCAATATCTCTTTTCTCTTTTTAATACCAGAAATACCAATTATCTCCTCCAGACATTTTTTTAATCTGGTTAAACCCTTATTCTCACCTTTATAGCTGGGCTCAATTTTAATTTTTCATTACCAAATCTTTAGAAACTCTTTAAAAGGCAGTTCATTTCCTCATTTTATTAGATCATAATCATGCTAGGAAAAAGTGGAAGAAAAGATAGTTCCAGCTATAGTCTGGATCTGGAGTGTCCCCCTAGTGGCCCATGTACTAAATGCTTATTCCAAGCCCACGCTATTTGCAAGTAATGGAAGGAACCATTTCCTAGTGAAAGGAAGTTAAGTCCCTGGGGGGGCGGGGGAAACGACTGTCCTTGAATAGGATTTTGGAATCCTGGCCTCTTCCCTCTTACCTTCTGCTTCCAGGAAGCATAAGGTGAACAGACCCTCTACCATGTACTCCCACTTTAACATACCATGACACCAAAGGACCATAGTGTAATGGGGCCAAGTAACCACAGACCAAAACTTCTAACACTATGACCAAAATAATCCTTTCCTCATTATAAGTTGATCAACCAATATAATTCTCAAAAAAGGAACAGCTTATAGAAAGGAAGACTGTCAAACAAGCAGCTTCATAAAAACATATGCAATTTAAGAGAAATAAATTTGTAAGCCATCGACATAGGTGATCATTAAAGCCACAAGGGTAGATTAGACCACCTAGGAAGAAGAGGACATATGAAAATGCCCAGAGGAATTCTAATAGCACTGACTGGTCATATATAGAAGATAAAACAAGAAGTAACCTAAGAACTGGCTAAGACGGTAGAAAGAACACTGGGATTACACCATGTCATAGAAGCTTAAGGATGAGAATATTCCAGGAAGCAGAAAAATTTAACTCAGTCAAATGTGACTGAGTTATTAATTTTTCTGAAAGTACTTTTCACCCTCATAAGGTACCAATGGTGATTTTGTCAAGTTTTTCCCCCTCATTTGAGGAAACAGAATAGGTACTACTTCAGCTTTAAACAAAAGAAAACATATATATATATATATATATATAGATAGATAGATAGATAGTGAATGTTCATACTCATACACAAAAGTATATGTTTATAGATATTTAAGCACAAGTATTACATCCTTGCAATTTCAAATCACCATATATCTAAAGCTAATTAGCTTCATCAAATTCTGTAACTATTAACATATGCCACTTTAGAAATGTAACTAAGAACTATGTATTAAAGAACTAAGTTTTTTTGTTCTTGTCCTTTTTCTTGGGGCGGGGGATTGGCTTATTTCACTTAGCATGATACTCTCCAGCAGAAATGGTTTTAACAACAACAACAACAACAACGAAAAAAAAAAACAAAAACATTGCAATGACAATCGCAAGTAAGGGACAGACAAGGCACGACAGGAATTCAGAAGGGACAGAGTGACTTCCAGTTTGAGGGTATTCTGCCTCACTGTATTAACCATTGTTCTTGATAATATTCCACACTTCCTTGATTTTCCATTAAAAAACTATTTTGTATATATGTATAACATATGCATATATAATATGTACATTGCCATATTCAGAATAATGAATCTAGAAGAAAACACAAATTTTAAGCTCTGGCAATAGGACTAAGAGATACCAGATCTTTACACAGTAATTTTTTTTTTTTTTTTTTTTT